ACAAAACAAAACAAAAAAGTGAATCCAGACATAGTTCCGAGGCGCCCTTAAATGGTATTCACTAGTTTTATTTAGTAAATTAAGACAAGTAACTCTTTCAATTTCCTTTGCCATTGTTCCAGATTGCAGGGAAGAGAAGATGTTAGCTCCTCCCAATGCGGATCAGACTCTTTATGAAGCACTTTCTGCTGTGCAACTCCAGTAACATTGCTGCTTCAAAGATGAAGCAGCAGACAGTTCTTTACTGCTAAAATCACGTTCAGTATGAAAGCAGCATTAGAGGAAATACATTTTCCCTTACAGTAATTGTGAAAATATACATCAAGCAAACAGTCTGATGCTTTTTTTTTATGGCAAGTTAAGCCAATCAGCTGCAGTAATGTCCCGACTAAGTGGTGAAAGAACAAATAAACGAGAAGCATGGATAATAATATTACCTGAGCTTGTGTTAATGAACCTGAAGTCCGACGATGGAAAACACGTCCAGGACTTCGGTGTCTTTGTCCGGCCTGCGTTTGTGAACACTTCTCCTCAACCTTCTGGTGGCCCGAAGGGCTGAACAGGTACCGCTGGGCCACGCGCATCACTCGACCCAACAAACTCATTTTCCCTGGGACTGCATTGGGAAACATGTTAAATCATAACTTCATTTATTTATTTATTTCATCCTTAAAATGCTGCTTATGATATGTGGGGTTCTATGGATGTAAACTGTAGGAAATTTAACTGCGAAATTAAGGCAGTCTCATTTATCACACATTTAGGCTAGATGACAACAGGGACAATCCAGCAGGGAAAGTTATTTTTTAGAAAATGAGTGTTGATTCCACTAGAGACTAACCCCCAGTGACATGGCTCTGTGGGCGTACCGTACATGTACTTTGGTGTGTGAATGTGTCCTTGTTGTACACAAATGAATGTTATCAGTGCCTCACCATATTTACTCAGGGGGAAGAATCTATCTGCTTAGACAAGCTGTGAATACAAAGACTCACTTGTACTGTCCTGTTTGTGAGCAAGTGCCCTCATGCACGCTGTCACAGTCATGGACTCTGCAGCTTTATCGCCTGTTTATTTAGAGGAATATTTGTGCCGCCGTTCGAAGTTAGGAATCTGAAATCTGGTCCTTGATAACAGCAATCTGCTATTCACATGGCATTGTGGTTTATTCCCTTTTCTTTAAAAGCACACTGTTGCACAGGAACCCATCTCATCTTTAGGCTCACTTAGGAAAAATACTTGTTTTTAGTTCATTTATGAATTATTTTTCAAAACAGACATAAAATAAGGGAAAGGTTTTATAGCAGTATAATGTCTCGTAGGTCTTCTATGACCCTTTGGTTTTAAACTGAGCCACTTTGTTATTTATCAACTCTTATCATACTTTGCTTAATTATTGTTGCAGGCAAAGAACACTTAAAGATAGAAATGAAAAATGACACATTTTGTGAATAGAAATTTGAAAAAAAAATTCCTATCAAAGCAAGAGACTTAAAAAAACCTCTTAATCAACAAAAACTTTGCCATTTTCTCAAGTTTCATTTTTAACAGATTTTCTCAAGTTTTTTTTTTGAAATATTTCCAGTTTTATTTTATTTTTTATTTTATTCTTTTAAATATTTTATTTTATTTAAATATTTTAGATTTTGTTTTTTTTGTACATTTTGTTCTTTTCCAAATTTCTCTTTTGCACATTAATTTCATAAATTGCATTTATTTTCAAATTGCATTTTACAGATCGCATTCTCTTCTCTTCACTGACCACTTTCCTCTGGAGTGAGGAGAGAAGACACATTTCTATTGGTCTGAATGGACGCCAACAAAAACACTTTCATTGGTTAAGAGTGAGCATTAGTATAAGGGTTAAAGGGAAAATAATATTAAGTGCAAAACACAATTTGAAAGAAATGCAACTTATAAATCTCAATCCGAAAAAAAGAAAGTTGAAAAATGAAATGTGAAGAAAAAAATGTAAAAAAAAAAAATGACAGCAGAATTACTCTCAGCCTTTTTAATAAGTTTCTCAAAAAGTAATTTCTGGATTGTCTACTTTTATTTCCATTTACAAAATGGGATCTTTGAAACAGTAATGAAAAAAAATTAAATAAAAAAAGTTTACCAAATTTCGCCAACTCTAAAAATAAAGCAAGTGCAGGAGCAGCCTCAACATTTTATGATGCTTTTAACCATTGCCATAGACATACAGAGCATGAGGTATCCTGAGATATCTCTATAGTTATGCTGCTATAGGCTTCTGGAGGACATAACCATATTTCATCATTCTATCTCTATTCTCCCACTCTGCAGAATCTGTTAGTTAAATCTTTAACAATATGTACAGAAATATAACGTATAAACACCTTTGTTTATAGATGTTCGAGATTGGCCTGTTTTTCAGTGTAGTCCTGTTTCTCTGACTGATTGGCTGGATGTGCTCTCTTCATCCTCTGACATGGGAGCTGGCTCAGAGCTTGTCTGCCTGGCTGTGT